CTTAGGATATCTTGTGCAAAAATCTAAAAAAAAAGGGGTGTTTCATGCAAAATCCAAAAATTCTTAGGGATTTTGTGTAAAAACACATAATTGGGTACGTGATTTCAAATTAAAAAAATAAATAAATAAAAAATTAGGGGGTTTTTTGCAAAAATAAATATGAATTTGGGGTGTTTTGTGCAAATGTGAGTAATTGGTCAAATAAAAGTCTAATTGGATACTTCTCACATTCGGAAATTTGTACCGGATATTTTATTCAACAAGTGCACGGTTTAGCTTATAATTGTCATTTCAACATGTATGTTTCACCGATCAAGTTATCAAAAATTTTAACATTTTTTTTGTTCTCAAAGAATAATTTTGAGGGAATTTATTGTCAATTCTGATAACTTGAAATTAACTCATGTTGAACAATTTGTAGCTAAATAATAAAAAAAAAGAAAATTATTATTTTTAATTTTTTTCCCTTTTTCTTTTCTTTTCTTTTTCTGTAGATGCCTCCCAGAAAGAAATCCCGAGCAAGTTCATCATCATCTGATCCATCTGATACCGACATAGATAGACCTACTATTTTAGCTAGAATTGTGGGTCTTAACATTCATTTTGAGAGGGGATTTCAGATGAGTGCACTGCATACATATCATTCCATAGTCACCATGTTATCTGCAGTAGGTCTTAGGAGCATGATGACTAAACCCTTAGAAAAAGCCAACATTTCATTAGTGCATGAGTTCTATTCTGGATGGGAGATTGATCCAGATAGAGAATATTCAGCTTTTTCTATCGTGAGGGGTGCTAGGGTTATTTTCGATCTTTTCACTATCCGTGCTACCCTTGACCTTACAGAGCCACCCACTGATGTACCAGATTACTTCCATTTAGCCTCCACTTTACAGCCTGGTACACCAGAATACAACAACATGTCTGCAACCTTGTGTGGGAGGGTCTTTACATCTAGTTTCGGTTCAGGAAATCTCAAACCAGAATATAGATTACTTAATCTTTTCCTGAACTTTGATTTGAAACCCACCACTGCATACTCCGTCATTACCCCACACGATATTCTCCTTCTCTTTTGGATAGCCACTGGTCAGCGATTTGATATAGCGAGGATTATATTTATATGGATGCGCTCATCAGTGGAGAATGTGTTAGATTGGGTCAGGACACAGTCTGCATCACGTACTCAGCTCATTTACCCCTATTTCATCACTAGACTCTGCCATAGATTTCATGTTCCAGTATTCGCAGAGGATAGGTTAGAAGCAGGGAAGGGGTTACTAAATGATCAGACTGTGAGGAGGAGCATTTCAGGGCGAGATCAGTCCGGTCCTTCAGGTAGAGAGCCTCCTCAGCACCAGCCAGCTACACATGACCCCACTCGAGAGGAGATGGATACGATGCGGAGTCGCATGGACAGGATGCAGATACAGATACACAGGATGCAGCGGCATATACACGAGATGCATGGTCAGATCAGCTACTCTACCGATACCCTGGCATATTTGGCGAGAGGATGGCAGAGAGAACATGGAGATACAGATGGACCTCCACCTGAGCTTCATAGTTATATCACACCATTTCAGCCAGATGATTTCCCAGGAGAGGATGAGGCGGGACCGAGTTCAGCAGCTACCGCTGATGATGTGGATGACGATATATCAGGAGATGAGCAGTGAGGGATGTTCTTTCTACTTTACCCAGTCTTTGATTTTTTTTGGCATGTACTTATTAAACTGTGATATTTTGGATATTATGTGCATTGAGGACATTGCAAAGTCTGGGTATGGGGGTGTAAGCTAGTTAAGCTTTTGTTTTGCTAGTTAGTATTTTGTTTTAGTATTTTTTTTTCTTTTCTCTCTCTCAGCATTTATCTTTTGTTAGTAAAAAAAAAAAGATTCACTTGCCAAATTAATAGAGTTAAGTAATAATTGATCAAATTGATAGATTTTAAATTTTCTAATTCTTAGTTAGTGACATATTCAAGTTCACCTTTTATGATAACTCCAAATAAAATTCTTAAGAAATGATTTTTCAACTAGTATACTTTACTTAAGTCTTACCTTAGATTTTTAATTAAAAATAATGAAATTTTTGCATGCTTAACTTAGAGTTGAAAATATTTTTTCAAGTTATCTTGATTTACACAATTTTTTTAAAGACTATATATACTTACACACACACACACACACACACACACACACACACACACACACACACACACACACACACACACACACACACACACACACACACACACACACACACACACACACACACACACACACACACACACACACACACACACACACACACACACACACACACACACACACACACACACACACACACACACACACACACACACACACACACACACACACACACACACACACACACACACACACACACACACACACACACACACACACAC